CGAGGTAAGCCAAGAACGAAGAGACAAACGGTACATGGTCTCCCTCATAAGTGGATGCTAAATCCAAAAGGTTAGGTGATACGACAAAACTAACAGGACTTAAGAAACAAAGAACTCCCGCTCATCTGGTTGAACCACTACTAAATATCCTCATGCTGCTGATCACAAATATGGTATATAACATGTGAACACTGTTATATATTACAGACTGTGGTAGACAATTTGCTCCAGGGAAGTTAGAATGAACTTGTGACTTTGAAATTATGTAATCATTTAATCACAATCAAAAAAAAAAAAAAAAAAAAAGAACCTCGGGGAAGGGAGGGAGGGAGGGGATGGTAGGGGGAAAACAATGGAGGGGGTAACAATGTTCAAGAGGAAGTGTACTCATAACCTCACTCATGTAACTGTAACCCTCTGTATAGTAGCTTTACAATAAAAAAAAAAAAAGAAGTCTATGAAGCTCATTTGCCTTGCCCATTTATTAATTGGGTTGTTGATTCTTTGAGGATTAAGTCTCTTAAGCTCTCTATATATTCTGGATATTAGGCCCCTGTCTGACATATAGCTGGCAAAGATCTCCCATTCCATCGGCTTTCAGGTGAATGCGCCTCAGATTCAACCATTATCACAAATTGTCACATTTGCAACCTGCCTTGGATACCCCCCCCCCACACACACACACACACTACCTACCCACACACACAACCCTACTTCCTAAACATAGGCAAGTGCTGTCTTAGCTCCTCTGCCTCTTTAAACCTGGGCATCCTCCAAGATGCAGTGTTAGTACCTGCTCTTCCCATATCAGTCAGTTTGCTTTGATCTTACAAGCCAGTGGGATCTGTAACTCCTCCAAACTTTCCCAACAAATCCTTTGCACATCCCCATGTGGGACTTAGCACATTTCGCATCACATTAGAACTGCAGGTATTACTCTGATGTTCTGCTTAGACTTTCAACCTTCTGGGTTCAGAGACACCATATGTCTTTTTCTTTTCTCTGCCTAGGCCTCAGAGCTCTCCTTAGTGCTGGCTTCTCTCTCTTGCTCTGTCTTTCACCTTCCAAGTGCTTAGTAGGGAGGACCTGCCTTAATCTCCCCATGCTCGGTAATGAGGCAGCTGAGGCCCTGCTCCACTCTGAGACTGTGAAAAAAAAATCTACATGTAGGTCAAGTACTGGTGGTTCATACCTGGAATTCTAGCTAATCGAGAGGCTGAGATCTGACAATCCTGGTTCAAAGCCATTCCAGGCAGACAAATCCAAAATATTCTTTTCTCTAATTAAACAGCAAAAACCTGGAAGTGGAGGTACAGATGGAGTGGTAGAGCACCAGCCTTGATTTTAAAAGCCCAAGTTAGAGCCCTAGTACAAGAAAAAGAGAGAGAAAGAGAGAAAGAAAAAAAGAAAGGAAGGAAGAAAGAGAGAGAGAGAGAGAAAGAAAGAAAGAGAGAGAGAAAGAAAGAAAGAAAGAGGAAGGGAGGGAGGAAGAAGGAGGGAAAGAGAAAGAAAGAAGGAGAAAAGAGAGAAAAAGGAAGGAAGGGAGGGAGGGAGGAAGGAGGGAAGAAGGGAGAGGAAGAGGAGAAAGAGATAAAGAGGAGGAAGAGAAAACAAGCAAGAAAGGAAGGAAGGAAGAGAAAGAAAGAAAGAAAGAAGGAAACTCAACGTAGAACTTTACCACTCAAGCCTGTCACTGAGGGATGGGTTTGATGTTCAAAAACTTAATGTGAGCTTCAAAGTTTTCCACTTCTTAGCACTGACTATTTTTTTACACAATGACAGTTATTAGTAAGTTGCCAAAATACATGACTCTGTATTCCCAGAGGCCTACAGTACTAATAAATAACTGTTATATGACAGACTGCTAAGATGATGAACACTGACCTGGATTGTATTTGAGCAATGCACTCCTCGCAAACACACACCCACTCAACATGGCCTATTTCATACATAAAATACCATGAAATAGAAGAGGAAATTATGCAAGTAAATTTAATATAAAAAAGCAAGGTATGACTAGCAACATCCTTAAGTAGAGTTCTTTATACACTTACTGTTAAGCCTAATCATTTGATTTTGAACTAAAGGCCCTGCCTCCATTCTCACTGAGAGTCAGGTTTGATTTCAAAAACAGCCTGGCATTGAGAGACAAATTTGATTTCAAAACTATGTGTTGCTAAGAACCAAAGGCCCTGAGTTCAAGCCCCACATTGACACAATAATTATATGTGAATTTCAGTGTTTTCCACTTGGCAATGACTGTTTATGTAATGATAGTTATTATTAAGGCTTAGTCATTGCTCTTAATCAGACAACTCAGCGTTTAGTCTTAGAGATTATTGTATTCCTTCATAAGCCTCTGTTTCCATAGTTCCTTATGACACCACAGTTCATGCAGTTTCCCTACCAACTGTTCTGGGAGTAGTCCCATTATTGCCAGTCACCAGTTAACACATTTACTTGACTTTAACTTCTAAATGACTTACCTCTGGCTCTTCCTTTCTATCCTTTGCATTTAGACCCCTTCTGTAGCTCACCCTGTTCAATAGACTGCACCGACATCTGGTCTTTTGATTCTGTTCTTCAATCATCCCTCTGTGTCCCAGGCCTGCCCTCATGACTCAATGTTCTTCTGCCTTATAGATGCAAGTCTGTAATGGCATTCCCATAGGTTACTAACTCTCCCTTGGCTAGTGAATAAAGCTCAGTGTGGCAACCAATTGCCTTCTGTTGGGGATTATATCAAAGGTTGGCAATATAATCCCAGTGGAGTATAAGTGCTTTAATAACACAGAAAATCGGGATATGCTAGTTTCAAATCCATACCCTTATAAGGAATCTACCAGATCCTTCATGATCTGACTTAGACACTATATTTTATCAGACTGTCAGAAGTTTTCTAACTACTTGTATGCTGCTTCTTCTACCTAGAAGCCCTCCTTTCCTCTCAGTTATATATACCTTCCTGTCCTTCCATCTTCCTGAGTGGACATCACAGTTCAAGGTGCCCTTGATACCTCTTGAACCTCTTATTCCCAAGCTAGTCTAGAAAGTCACTCTGGGTGCCATGTCTGTCTAGAAAGAGCTCTGTAGAAGACTTGTAGACTGACTTTCTTTCTGTCTGTCAGGCTCCCGCTCTAGAGCTGGAGGGGGCGGTCCTTTGACTTTCATCTAAGTGTCTCCCTCCCCAGCACAAGTTCTTGGGCATACCAGGCTCCCAGTAATCATTCTTGAATGAAAATCCCTGGTGTTTGAGGCTTCCAACTGTTCTTCCTTCTGGTGGTTATTAACAACAATTTATTTGTATTGTATTTGTTTATATATGTAGTTGTATGAGCATAGCTTTACAGTACACTATATATACATCTATTGTTCTTCCTGTTGCATAATCTCTCAAAAAACAGATTACTTGCACTAATATAGTCTCAACACTTAATTCTATGCAGTTTTAAAATACGATTGACAAGCGTTATTTATTTAAAAAAATTGTTAAACTACCATTGATAAGGCATCTATAAGGATATAATATGGACATCTAAGGACATAAATAATATAAAGAATCACATCTGAGAGAGGATCAGCTCTGAAAATAACATATTACCAAGTCAAATCAGAGGTTGGCAAGTTCTCCTATAAAGCATCAGATAAATATTTTCAGCTTTGTGGAGCACATGGCCTTTAGAGCTGCTCTGATGGTATAATGGACAGCAGCCATAGAGAATATGAAATGATGGTATGTGACCAATGATCCAGTGAGCCTTCATTTATTTAAACAAACAACAACAACAAACTATGATTTGGGTCTGCCATCAGTGTTCATACCAGTAATCCTAACTACTCAGGAGGCTGAGATCTGAGATTATGGTTCAGAGCTAACCCAGGCAGGAAAGTCCATTAGACTCTTATCTCCAATTAACTACCAAAAAAAGCTGCAAGTGGAGCTGCGGCTCAAGTGGTAGAGCAGCAGGTTTTAGCAAAAAAAGTTTAGGGACAGCATCCAGGTCCTGAGTTCAAGCCCCAAAGCTGGCACACCCACCCCTCAAAAATTATGGTTTGGGGCTATAACTCCAAAGGTGGGAAATACCTGAATGTCAAGAGTGCTGTGGGGATTTAGAGTAAAGAGAAGGCACCCATCATGTTGCAGGTAGCAGAGACTGAGTGGCTTACAAAGTTTGCTTTTTTTCTCACGAAAGCCGAACAGATTGCAAAATACAGAGAAGATGCTGTCAGATACAGAGTCAGAAAAGCCCAAGGGAGATTTGGGCTGGTTATTCAAGAAAAGTGAAATACTTGGGAAGTAGAGATCAGAAGCTCTCAAGTTCAAGGCCAGTCTAGGCAAAAACTTACCGAGACCTCTATCTCAACAAACAATCTAGATACGTTGGGAAACATCTTTCATTCTAGTCACATGTGTGGTATAGATAGGAAGATCTCAGTTAAAGGCTGTCCTCAGGCAAAAGTGCAAGCTCTTTCCAAAAAAATAACTAAAGCAAAAAAGTTTGGTGGTATAACCCAAGTGGTAGAGCACTTGCCTAGCAAATAGCCCCCAGCTCAAACCCCAGTACTCTTAATAACAACAACAATAGTAAAAGGAAGGAAAGGGAAGAGAGGGAGGCAGAAAACAAGAAAGAGAGAAAGAGACGGATAAGGAAGTAAAAGAAGGGAAGGAAAGGGGGAAAAGGAAGGGAAAAAATGGAAGGAAGAGTGAAGACCAATACATGGAGAGGTATTTTTGTGTAAAGCATCAAGGAATGTTGTAAACTTGATGACAGTTTACTATTGCAAAAAAAAAAAAAAATGAGAAGTATGTTAGAAAAAATTGTAGACTTTTTATTTCGAGCATTCCTTTGAAGTCACAATTGACTACTGGTTATTTTGGATAGGCTTCCTAGATAAATACAAAAAGGAAAGGTGCTAAATGTAACACTGAAATAGACTCTCATTGACCCATTTACAGAACTTAACTGATGTTGCTTCCATTTCTGTGTTTTTCATTCCAGCACCAATAGCTGCAGGAACTGGCCCTAATTTTTCTCTCTCAGATTTGGAAAGTTCTTCATACTACAGCATGAGTCCAGGAGCAATGAGGAGGTCTTTACCCAGCACATCCTCTACAAGGTAATTTGATTTTTAACTCTGGCCCTGCTAGACATTTACCAATGAGCCTGTCATGAGAGAAGATAACCAAATAAGTGGTTTGCCCAACAAGCAGAATTAAAAAGAAGTGTATGTATACACACCCATACACACATATACACAGTAGACACTTAAAAACAGTGAACTACCCTGTAGATCATAGGCTTAATAAAAAGGTCCCAAAAGAATCTTTCCAAAAGGAGTTACTTGTGTTGGGCTCTGAATGATGGTTAGGATTGGGGGGATGGGGAGGAAAAGGCATGGTGGGATGGGTTGGTAAAGAGGGATAGCAATGAAGAAACCATGTTACATGGAAAGAAAGGATGTGCTTGATGAGGAGAAAGGAGGATGACCAGCTGATGATACCTGCCTCGTCCCCTGCCCACCTCTGGAAATACAATTCAGTCCCTGTTCTTTTCCTGTGAAGCTCCCAAAAGTCTCCAAGTAAGTCAGTTAGATTGTTATCCTAGTGTGTGGTTATAAAAGAGGAAGTGGTAAGATACCAGGGGCATGCCAGACGCTAGACCCTGATTCTTTGGGAGACCTTAAAAGAACAAACTTGGACTGGGCACCAGTGGCTCATGCTTGTAATGCTAGCTACTCAAGAGACTGAGATCTGAGGATCGTGGTTTGAAGCCAGCCCGGGCAGGAAAGTCCATGAGACCCTTATCTCCAATAAACCATTCAAAAACAAGAAGTGGCACTGTGGCTCAAAGTGGTAGAGTGCTAGTTTTGAGCAAAAGAGCTTCTGGACAGTGCCCAGGCACTGAGTTCAAGCCCCACAACGGACCCAAAAAAAAGAAAAAGAATGAATTTTGAAGCAGAGTTCTTGTCCCTGTGACTTAGGTCATGAAGCCACCATCCAAACGAAGCACTTAGCAAGATCCTGTTGTCTTTAGATAACTTGTGCCAGGGAAAAGGGATTAAGCATTAAACCCACAGTATTCTTTCACAAATTGGCTTTACCACTGGACTGTGACAACAAAGGAAAGAGTAGTGCAGAGCGATCTTTCATGTTTGTGTACTTTGCAAAAAAATGTTTGTCAAAGGTCTCTTTTTCCCTAAAGCAAGTACAGTTTTATGATTTAAAACAATGCCAAGATTATAGAAATTTTGTTTGGTGGAAACTCGTGTTAACCTTGCCTTTTATCATAGTGTTTTAAGCATCATTAATTTTTAAAAAATCAACTTAGCCATTTTTATAGCTGTGAAGACAGTAAAAGTCATCCCTAAACAGAACCTCTACCTCCCATATCATGTTTGGTGTTGTTCAAATGTTCCCCTAGTTTACTCTAGTATCAGCTCCTGGGTCGGGGTGCAGGGAGAGAGGAGGATGACGCAGAGAGGAAAAGGTCTCAAATCTAAGGTGCATTTTTAATAGCAAAAAAAGAGATTAGGAACACATTTGGGTGTTACTCTACTTTGCGGATTTGCAATGTTTGCTGATGGAAGAGACATTGTGTGTAACTACACTCTGTCAACATGAGAAAGCTTTGCAAATACTTGTGGGCAGTGATTAATTGAACAGTTTACAGGCTGTTTGTTTTTCCTATGTGTGGAGCACCTGTCCCTTGTCCCTCCCAAACAGTGCTCCACACCTCTGCCCTTCTGCACACTTCTCCAGAGATGTCTCATTATCTTTTGTTGTGACTCCCCAAATAGAAAGCTGATTATTAATGTCATTTTAAAAGGCTAGTATCGTTCTCCTATTCTGCAAATAACTAACCCCGATAAGGAGCTAATTATAAACATCATCAGTAGTTAATAACTCAGTAATATGTTTGTTTTGCTCTCATTAGGCTTTTCCTAGGATGGCTTTAAAAAAAAACTCTTTGAATGCATAGGCTCAGTGGAATTATAAGCTTTGAAAATGTGCTTGCAAAAATATAGCAGATTTACATAGAAAAGCTTATCAATTAATCAATATTTGCTCATTGTGTGCCAGTATTAATTGGGCTGGGCAGACACCATATTGGGTATGTTCCATACCCCATCTGGTTTGATCTTCACACAGTTGTAGACAATGGCCATTGAAACAGTAGAACAACAAAGAGCTCAGAGAAGTTAAATAACTTGCCTGGTGTCACAATCCAGGTAAATGGTACTGTCCGCATTCAAACTTGGGTCCATTGGAACTTACAGAACATGGTCTTTTCCCAGTATTCTGCTTAAGAATGAGGCTGACACTGATAGTAAAGAAGAATGGAATATGGAATGGCAGAAGAAAAACATGCACATCTCTGCCTTTCCCTGGCATGTAGCACTTGCTTTTTTGAATACTGTTATCATCTTGAGGTATGCAGCTTTCCTACCTCCACAGCTGAACTCTTAGTTCTTTGAAAGACAGTGTCTAATGCTTCCAATTCTGCAGGGAACACTCATAAGCAGCCAAGATGTTGTACTCAGCACAATAGAAATAGAGACCATCACAGTAGGTTTATAGTCAAGTTAGTGGCAGATACTAGTGATTGAGTAGATGTTCATTTCAGGACACCACGAAAACTTGGTGAAGAGGCACTTTATTAGCTTCAGAAATATTTATGCTCTAATGTATGGGTAGCTGTTACTGGTACTTACTTTCCTGTTTTCCTCAGATATTTCTGGGAGAATAAAAATCATGGTGTGAGAAAGTCAAGAGCAAGAAACAAAATCAAAGTTCAGTTTACTTCTAAAAGTTAAGAAGTAAATAAACGAAATTGATAGGCATTTGCTGTGGGCTCTATATCATTTCAGAGTAAAAGGTCTCCAGAATTATACAAGGAATAGTATAAAAATCAGGATAAGATACATTTTTTTATTCCAAAGAATTACATCAAGATAAACCCCCCATCAAGATTGGGGAAACAATAAGCTTTACCTTGAAAGTCCCATACCTGCCCTTCCCAGCCTTGCTAATCCTCACTCCCAGACCCTCTCTCTCCTCCTCCCCCACACTTCTACCCTGCAGATGTTTATCCTTTTGTCCACTTCTGAAAGTCCAGCTTCCCAACTTAGCTGGCAATTACAGAACCTTTTACCTGTAGGATTTCATGCCTGCATTTTATCAGAGCATGACCTCAGAAAAAATATGAATAATGGGAGAATGATGGGTAATAGAATTGGCCCTCTGGGTTGAATCTCATTGAATCCTGATAGTTGGATAAATCCTTGACACACACACTAGTGCAGCAGAGTTTGAACATCTGCTATTAGTCAGATTATGTGGTAAGCCCTAAAGATTAAAATGTAGTAATAAGAAAGAGTTACTTTCCTTGTAGATTTTACAATCCTATCACCACGTGAAGTTCCTTTCTTGTTTGGTGGAGTTCTAAGGAAATACATTTTTTTCCAATTTATATTCTGCCTTCCTCCAAGATGACTTGTAGTGGCTTTCAATTATAAAACATTACAGATATACTAAATACAGAAAGAAAAGCCTGAAACTATATGGGGAAGAATAGGAGAAATCATTATATCAGGTACATTAATCAAGAATTATGTCTCAAATTTGGCCCTGATCTTCCTGGTTGCCAGGGCAAGAAGAAAAGGCAATACAGTGTGTCATTTACCTTTTCTCATAAAAGGAAACAGTAGAATCCATTCAGAGACCAGATTTTTCTGGTTTTAGATATTGGAAGGAAGTTTTTATGTGTATATACCCTCCTATAAAGGATTTCCATTAGATGCAATTTTACATTTAAGAACAGCAATGTTTTCCTAGTGGCTATTTTTCACTGGGGTTAAAGGAACTCAAAGAAAGGACATTAAATAAGTTGTTAAAGAAGTTTCCTCTGGGTACTATGTTAGCCTGGGCAGTTATCTTTATTTCCTGTGGTCTGGCTTTAATGAGAGTAGAACTTAATAGCTAAGAATACTGGAATGCCGACACCAGTAATCAGAATTGCTTACCTAAATTGGGCCTTGCACATTTTTTATTCAGATTGCTTAAGTAAATACTTAACTGTCTCGCCACTCCTAGACTGACTACACCCCTTCTTTTCCTTTTGCTTCCTAAATCATCACATATACCCTTACTAGAGTCACTTTTCTAAAATAGAATGCCAATGTCACATGCTTACCAGGGCTTTTAGGATAAAGTCCAGACCCACAGCATCTTCTATATCCTACACCACTCTCTTGTATGCCCCTCTTCAACTTCAGCCATCCCAACATCCCAAGAGCTGGTATACCCCTCCCTCCTGGGAGTGATGTTCACAGCCTCTGGTACCCAGTGTACATGAGTGCAGCCATGAGAGCCACTACTCTTGGCCCAGGAGTATCCTGAGGCCTGATATTAATCCTTTAGGTAGTGCATGATGGGAGTATCTTGGAGCAAGGAAGGATACCAAGGTTGGAGGAAACAGTATTTGAGTCAATGACAGTTTGCCAAATGGAAAGAAGAGTTTCCATATTTTAAATGAACACAGTTTCCCAAGTAGTGTGTCAGCTTAATAACAGCCCAACCTTCTACTTCGTTTCTCTGTCCTAGTCTCCTTAGTCAGTAATTACTCAGAGTCTTATGTTTGGTAGGCAAATGTTCTATTAATTAACCCATTCTGCCAGTCCCTTTTTGCTTTTTTTTATTTCATTATAGAGTCTTGCTTTATGCCTAGGCCAATCAGGACTTCAGGCCTCCTATTTGTGCTTTGTTGTTAGAATAACAGATACAAGCCACCAGAACCAACTATTGTGTTTTCCTCATAGCTTAGGGTAATAAGCACATGCCACGATGCCAAGTCTTTGGTTGAGATGGAGTCTCTCAAATGTTTATTCCCCAACTGGCCTCAAACTATGATCCACCATCTCTTCCTCCCTAGTAGCTATGCTTACAGGCTTGAGCCAACACACCTAGCTGTCTCTTTGACACATAAAGACAGTTACCTAGTAATGCTCTGAGAAAAGCTCCAAGAGTATCATTGTCACCTTCTTCCATCAAGTGACCCACCGTGGCCTAGACATGATTCCTTCATGATTCCTTCATGATTCCTCTTTTCCTCTGGTCCCTCCATCTGTGTTTATGGAGTATGTCTTACTCATCACAGTATCATAGCACTTGACATGTAAGAGGTATACAATAAGTATTTGATTACTTAAACTCATGGAATAGTCTTTTTTTTAATTGTGAAAATACAGTACAGAGGGGTTACAATTACATGGGCAAGATAATTAGTACATTTCTTATCAAACATTGTAGCCTCTTCCTTTGTTTCCCCTTCTCATCTCTTCCCATCCTCCCCCTGCCCCCCAATCCTCCTCCCCCCCACCAAAGTTGTAAAGTTCGTTTTTCCACATAATGACTTGTACATCTCATTGTTGCAATGGATCCACTTGTATCCCTATTCAAATGATTTGTTTTTTTCCCTTCCCCTCCACAAATTATACAAACATCAAATACAGTGAAAGCAGGGGTTATACCATGGGGGAGGGACATGCAAAGCAACAAAGAGATAATCCTATAAATGTGTTAGAGATAATCCTATAAATGTGTTAGAAACAATCACCTGAAAGAAAAAAAAACATTTGAATATATATCATAGGGTTCATTCCCCTAACATCACATTATCTGACCTTTTCTGCTTGACTCAGACATATACTAGTTATTGCAAATAAAGGAAACCATGGAACCTAAGTTTCTTTGGGACTGGCTTACTTCACTTAATATAATTTTTTCCAAGTCTTTCCATTTCCTAACAAATGGGGCAATGTCATTCTTTCTGATGGAGGCATAGAATTCCATTGTGTATATATACCACATTTTCTTGATCCATTCATCTACTGAGGGGCATCTGGGTTGGTTCCATATCTTAGCTATGGTAAATAATGCTGCAATAAACATAGTCATGCTGGTAGCTTTAGTGTGGCCTTGTTTGTGAACATTTGGGTAAATGCCCAAAAGTGGGATTTCTGGGTCATAGGAGAGCTCTATGTGGAGTCTTCTGAGGAACCTCCATACTGCTTTCCAAAGTGGTTGAACAAGTTTACACTCCCACCAACAATGTAGTAAGGTTCCCTTCTGTCCACATCCCCTCCAGCATCTGTTGTTATTAGAGTTCTTGATTATAGCCATTCTAACTGGGGTGAGGTAGTATCTCAATGTTATTTTGATTTGCATTTCTTTTATGGCTAGGGAGGTTGAGCATTTCTTCATGTGTCTATTGACCATCCTTCTTTCCTCTTCAGAGAAGTTTCTCTTTAAGTCTTTAGCCCACTTATTTATTGGGCTAAACTCATGGAATATTCTATATCTTGGCACAAAGAGGCTCCCCGGCAGGCACTCCCTCTAGGCAGGAAATCTACCACTGGGTAGGGTACTGGAAGCATTGACAGCGAAGATAACCCAAACAACAACAGGCAATGTTTCATACTTTTTCCACCACAGTCCTGCACCCAGAGGAAATGAGAGCCATTCTAGAAGCTCCTCAGTCACACAGCTCTAGAAACCAGTTTCCTTTGATCATCCCTATATAGAGGAAAGGCATAAAGTCATCATTGCACTACCCTTTGTCCATATTGGTTAGTCTCACAGGTACACACGGGACCCTCAGTATTCCTCCTTCCACCCATCTTGTAGCTCTGGCATCTAGGGGAGTAAGTACCTGGACTGCATAAGTCTACAGTAAATATTTTGGAAGGAACAAATCCAAGTAGAAGGTGGGAAATGTAGGGAAATAAAAGCAATCTGAGTCTTTCTTAAAGGATCTCAAGTCCTGCTCTTTATTTATTGTTTTATCCTTTCTGGGAGGCCAGCGGGGACTGAATTCATGTCTAGGTACACTGTGACTGGGCAGCCTCCAACCACCGCCCACGGAGATAGGAAACCTGGGCTTCCTTCCACACTTCCTGGTAAAAGCCAGCAAGAGCCAGCCCTGTTCCTCAAAGGAAAAAAGGCACAGGATGTGGCGGTGGCAGCAATTCGAGGGACATAAAAATCAAACCCAGACAGTTGGAACAACACAGACCCAAAACTTTATTCCCCATGCAGTGACTCACCCCACTGCACAAGAGCCCAAGCGAATCCTGGAACTGCACACACCTGCCCAGCTCCTTCCTCCCTTGGCTTCTTTCAGCCTGAGAAAGAAAGTCCAAGAAGAAGGAGGTGGGGGTCTCTTTTAAATATGCACTCGTTTGTTCTTTCAGCTCCACGAAGCGACTCAAGTCTGTGGAGGATGAAATGGACAGTCCTGGTGAAGAGCCATTTTACACAGGCCAAGGACGCTCTCCAGGGAGTGGCAGTCAATCCAGCGGATGGCATGAAGTGGAGCCAGGTGAGCAGGACATGGGGGCCTGGGTTCCATACCATGCAGGCCCATGAAGAAAGCAAGCCCTAGAGAGCTGCCTTTGTCCACATAAACATGTGACTGCCACATTCATAAAGGGGTAGCCATATACTGCAGAGATGAAGCTGACAGGCAAGACTGGATGAGAGTCACAGGTGATCTCTGCTCATACTCTACTGCAATGCTGCCTTCCATTCACCTTTGTGTTGTTGTTGTTGTTGTTGTTGTTGTTGTGTTGTTTGTTTGTTTGGTTGGCTGACTGGTTGGTTGGTTGATTGAGAAGGTGTCTATCCTCCCCAGGCTGGCATTAAAATTCTGAGCTCCCATGATCTTCCTGCCTCAGCCTCCTGAGGAGCTGAGATAACACTCGTGTGTGTGTGTGTGTGTGTGTGTGTGTGTGTGTGTGTGTGTGTGTGTGTGTGTGTGTGTGTGTGTGTGTGTGTGTGTACACTTATCAGCTTTGGGGCGGGGCATTATCTTTTAGCAATCATAAGAAAAACCCATCAATTTTTTTTTCAACCAGACCAAAAGAGTTCTTTGTGTGCAGTTTACACTTAGAGTTTTATAAAAATGAGAGTACTTTCTAATATCTTTCCTAATACTGGATATCTTCCTGATTGTCTTGCTGTTTAAAAGGAGCAATGATCTTTAACCCATCTGTGCTACACTAAGCCAGTGGCGGCTGGGTCTGACTTCCTGGGGTTGTCTCCTCTTGGCTCTGGAATAGTTCTGATGGCTGCAGCTGTTTGAAACCGTAATCAATGTTTGGCCTCCGTGTGGACAAGGGGAAAGTCATCTCCAATGCCTTCCTCAAAACAACAAATCAGATGGATAAAAGAGGATAGAGTGTGGGTTTTGGAATGAGCCAGAGTATAGTTGTGGCTTCAACTCCTGCTGGCTGTGTGATGGCAGGCAAATTACCTGACTTTTCTGAGCCCATGTTCCACCCCCACCCCTCCACACCCCCTCCCACCTTTTTTTTAAATCATCTAACAGTAAGCTGTTTCACTGCTGGGGTAATATCTGTCACTCATCTAAGAATTCTACCTAGCACAGAAGTACTCATAAAGAGATATCCTCTGATCATCCCTGTTGGTCTCCAAGAGCAAATCAGCACCGAGAAAAACCATGAACTAGCCTCTCCACTTGCAAATCTTAGATCCCCTCTCTCCTCCCTGATACTGTTTTAAAAGACCACCCTCAGATGAGGTGACTGTAAAAGAAATCGGAAGGGAGACCTGAGGGTGATAGGATGGTTTTGTATCCTGATTGTGATGACTATGGTAATCTAAAAATCTACGTAAGTCTTCATATTCACAGAGATGCAGCTTCCTTCCCCACATGTACTGTATCATTAACAGAAACAAAACAAATCAAGCCCTTGGGCCTTACTGACTGGGCCTTTTATCTTGCTCCCTTTATGAAAATAGGAGCCTTCTCTGCCTGCTCTACCTGACTCCCTCCCTTGTCTCATTCATTCATTCGTTTGTTCCCTCACTCGGCAATCATCCTTGGGAACTTCCTTTATGAGTTCTGATACCAGGTTCTGGGAATTCAAAGATGGATGGTGAGGCTATGGCTCCTGCTTTCAAGGAATTCACAATCAAGGCTAGGAAACAGACATATAAACAGATCATTATACATGGATGTGGGGAGCACAGCTATGTGAGATGAGCCTAGGTGCCTTCTTCTTCTAATTATTACCCACTCAGCACTCACAGTGTGGTTAGTCTTCTATGCACGTCTCACCTGGGTCTCACTGCACACTTATGTTCATGTTCTTTTGCCTGAAGTGGCTAAGATATAAAGCCAGGCTAAATGGAAAATGCTGAGTACCTGGTGCCGTTAACTGCATTGTCAGCACGACCTCCGGGTAGTGCCAGTGAAAAGTTTATGTGCTATTAAAAAATTAAAAGATGTCGAACTTCCTTGAACCCTTTTTAAAAAGGCTAATTAGTCCTAGCCAATTTACCTGCTTCAGTGAAAATCAGATTCAAATATGTAGGTTTAGTGCATCTGTGCTTGAGGACCCTACCCACGTATTTTCTGCAGATTAAAGCTGTCTGTATGTCATTGATGTTCAGGAAGCTCTTCTGCCATGAGGTTGTTCTGTGGCTCTCACAACGGCATCTTTGGGGGAGTGAGGGGTGGTTGAATAGCTCAGCCTAATGACTCTCTTATTCAGAGTGATTTCTATTCTTACCTGCACATGATGACTTGAACGGTCATAAATTTTCACATCTGAGTACCTATATCCTTTACAGTCATTAAATAACTAAAGTTTAATAGCTATATCCTCTTTAGGTAGGTAGGTAGATGATAGATAGATAGATAATAGATAGATAGATAGATAGATAGATAGATAGATAGATAGATAGATAGATAGATTTCTTCTTCTTCTTAAAGACACCCCCCCACACACAGTTACATTCTAACACTGAATGTCCATTGTCTGTCCTCTTTTCATTAAAGGAAAGTGCAGTTTTGTGGTATTTGTGGGGTACGGGGGAGGGGCAGTGGATAAATTTACATTTGGCCCTATTCAGCATAGAAAGTCATAATTGAAACAGGGCCTAAGGGGACATTAAAACACAACTGAAGGATGTTGCACATGTTCATGGTGACTTTGGTGTCATTAACTCACACCAGCCATTTTAAATGGATAATTTATGCTGCCAGATGGTCCTTTTTGGGGATTTTCCATCCAGCCCAATCCCCTTTTTGGCACAGAGAACACCTTTATGTTGTTCCCACACTTATCCGGGCCTGCATAGCTTTTCCCCAGGGGTATAGTTAATTGAGTAGGAGGCTTTTAGTGGCTCACTCATGTAAATTACCTTCAGAAATATGTTGGGAATTATGTATATTCGAATGCACCGGCAGCCTCTTGGTTGCTTCCATGTGGGATCGTTCTTTCAGAGGAGTCAAGTGCTGAGGATACTGGGTCTGTGCCTCCAACAACACAGGAAGTGAGGCTTTGCTCACTCCTTACTCTGAGAGCATCTGGCACCTGCCCTCGCTCCTTCCCAGGACGCCCTTGTCAAAAGAAGGCCCAGTGTGGTCAGAAGAGACACAATTCCTTGAGCAACAGGAAGACTTCGCAAAGTAAAACAAACCAGACCCTCAGTAAATGACATGGGCCCTTTCAAAGGCCTTTTGTAGTATCCTGTTCCCCATTAGTTTATCTCAGCACTTTTGGTGCAGAGCTCCTATTATCTGGGAAGAAGGGCAGAGGAGATTAAAGATGATGTTAGTTTAAAAACATCAGACAACCTCAGGCTGACTTTTGCTTCTCTTACAATGCTACATTTGTTCCCTCCACTTAGTTTCATTTCCCAGTTATCTCAAAACTGGGTTAGATTCGAAGCTTGGAGGCTAATCACACACTGATGAAGTGAGTCGTATGAAATACTATCCAGCAGAGATGCACATACCATCAAGTCTTGTTTATCTGTGCAAATGAAAAATTGCTGGGAAACTGATAATGCAAATAAATAGGAAGGAAACCAACAGGCGTCTCCACTGGCTGGGTCTCTGTGAAGCATTTTCAGATAGGGTAAAAACATTCTAGTTACAATTGAGTACCTACTGTGCACCAGGTTTGGTTTTGATGTTAACAAAACCAAATATAAAAGATTTCATGGATCTTCTTGCCTCTCTAGAAATGAAAATTGAGAATCAGGCATGATTAAGTGACTTACCATACAGAAAGTAAATCTGTAGATCCAGAATTCGTATTTCAAACCAAATCTGACTTCAGAGTGTAAGTTTCATTTTCTATACGCAATAACCTCTTTTTCCATAGTATTTGTGCTCACATGAAAAGAGGCATTGTAAGGCCTTGTGTCTTAGGCTTGTATTTAGTTTTAAAACATAATAACAAATCAATAAATAACTAATCAGAAAGACCTGAAAATCCACCCATTTTCTTTATCCCAAGTTTTTGTTATGTATTCTAAGCCAGAGAAGGAATAAATAGTACACTTTACATACACTCAAAGAAAAGTAACCATTAACAAAGTTAAAGATTTGTCATTATCACCCATAAAATCGATGAGTACTCAGCATTCAAGCTTTGGTTAGGATAATACCACAGCAATGAGGCCCTTAGTGATCTAAAATAGCTGCTGACACTCCCTCAGTCTCCTCTAATTCATAACCCTACCTTCCTTTCCTGTGCACTGTCTATAATACACTCCCTATGAAGCAGGACTTACTTCATCTCTTCTACCTTTTGATAGACAGTATAATAGAGGGTATAGAGCAGTATTTGCAACAGTGGTTAGCACAACACATACTGAATGAATGAATGAGTGAAGCAGAGAGTTTCTGGTGCTCTCAATAAACTTGAAAACAAGAGGTTGCTGTGAATAATCCCCTTAGAATTTTATTTCCTGTTGTTTTTAATCTTCAGGCTTCCAGTAATTAGAAACGATTGCTAAGGTTCATACCCCATTGATGAGTAGTACTGCATCCAACTATATAGTCATTCTGCGTTGCCTTCAGATGTTCCTTTAAAGGAACAAAAGACAGACAGACAGACAGACAGATAGATAGATAGATAGATAAATAAATAGATAGATAACCTGTTTTCACATAGATAAGAAAAGAGTGTATGTTGGGGGACTCCAGATACCTCACTACAAGAAATTGGTCCTCCAATTCAAGTGCCTCCAATTCAAGTGGAGGAAAAGAAATGGATTATCATCTTAGTCATTATAAATCAAGCCAAACCAAACCTTTATTAAGTGTCAACGGTGTGCAGTATCCTAGGGTAGATACAAAGGCACTCCATTAAGTGCCTTTCTCCAAGGACAAATCTCTGGTTGGCTTCAAGTGTGAGTCCATACTTACTAATATAGCCACTGTGCTTTAGCTCCATCTATATCACAAAATTAAAACAATCAGATGAGGTGAGTAAAGTCCTTGGTAAAGGCTAGTCTCATGAACTGCCCTCACTGGGATTACTGGGGAGGCAAACTGCCGAA